CACCAGCCACTCCTCGGAAGGAAGGTTGGGCAATCCTACTTCCGTAGTGATACTGCCTCGGAAACCCAAGGAGGAGTCGCTATGAGTCGGGGCCGACTCGACGGCAAATAACAACAACAACAACAACAGAGTGTGCCATGTGGGAGCTGGATGGTCTATGTTAGACTCCACAGGAAGGCAACTTGACCAGCCCTGCTGCTTCCCGTGTGCTTCAAGGACCACCAAAAAAAAAAAAACAAACTCACTGGCACCAAGTGGATTCCAGCTCATAGTGGCCCCCATTGGATTTCCAAGACTGTAAATCTTTACAGAAGCAGATTGCCCCATTTTTTCTTCTGCGGAGGGGCTGATGGGTTCAGACCACAGGACCTTTTGGTGAGCAGTCAAAGGTCTTAACTACTACACCACCATAGCTCCTTTCAAGGACCACAGGCATTAAAATCCACCCCTCATTCCCCAGGGATTAGGGAGAGTGGCAAAAACAATAAAGATTCCTGCGTCTAACCCCTAGACCAAAGGTATCCAATCCTTTGGAGGTGGTCCCAGAAATCTGCATCACTCAATACACTTCCCAGGTGATTTAATCCATCACGGAATTGGAGCTCCACCAAGTCCAGTCTGAGCAAGGTCAATGTGGTCTCCTTGATACTCTGGGAAATAGTGAAAACCATTCCAGAATCCCACTCCTAAAGCGCCCAGGGTCAAAGACCCCCCAAAGGGAAATTGTGCATTTCAAACAGGGACCCTACCTTTGGGGAGTAGTGGCTCTTCCCCAGCAGCCCGTGGAGCATGAAACTGTTTCATGAAAACAGGGCGGGCCTCCTCTGGTCAAAGCTAGGAGACCTGGAGTGGAGCATGTTGTCCTTCGCTCATACTCCAGCTTGGGGCACTGAAGCCAAGACCCTGGCTCTCCAAGAAGGAAGCATGACTATTTCAAGGTCACTCTGTGACTTAAGGGGCCGAGTCGGCACTCGAATTCAAGACCCACCCAGGCGCTGCCAACCCATGCGCCAAGGGCCGGTGGGGTGGGCCTGAGGTCGTCTAGGCAACGGGCGCGCGCCACGCCCCAGCCCGGAGCCCTGGAGGGGAGAGAGATAGATGTGAGAGCTGCCTAACGTCTCGCGGGGCTGAGGCCACTTCCCTCGGCACCTCCTCCCGACTCCGCCCCGCGGAAGTGCTTGCAGACATCCTCGAGCTCTTACTGGTTCTCAGGATCGGGGGGCGGAGTTCTCAACAGGCGCGGTGCGTACTTCCGGCTGCCGGGTTGACATGAAGAAGCAGCGGCGGCTGGGGCGGCGGTAGCGGCGAGAATCGAGGCTTGCGGTGGGATTGAAGGCTAAGATCGCGACGCGGCCCGAAGCGGCACACGGCGCAGTGGGCCGAGGAGGAGACGCAGCAGTCGCCCTGGCCCGTCATGGAGATGGAAAAGGAGTTTGAGGAGATCGACAAGGCTGGTAACTGGGCGGCCATTTACCAGGTGCGGGAGCGCCCCAGAACGCGACAGGCTCTTCGCTTAGGCCGCGGGAAGCCCCCTCAGAACACTGGGACCCGTTCTCCCTCTGGGTCCGGTCCTCCGTCTCGGCCCTACTGCATGAGGATTCGATCCGACAACGGCAGAGGCTGCCCCCCTCTCTCTTTGTCCCCCGGGTGGTCCAGCGTCTCGCTCGGGCCTCGCAGCCTCCTGAGATTCCCCCACCTACTTCATAGCCTCTGGTCCAGGTGGCCTCTCAAGCCTGGAGGCCGCCCATCCGCGCTCTCAGCGCGAATCCCCTGCACCCCGACCCCGCCCCCTTGCCCAGCCACTCTTTGTCCCCTGGGGTGGATTTGACACCCCCACAACTTCCTTTTCGAAACGGGACCACCTTAGACTCTCTTCCTTTGTCTCCCGGGGGAAAGGGCTTCTCTCCCTCCCCCCTCACGTTTCCTTTCCTCCGGTCTCAGCGTCGGTCGAGTCCAAGGCCCTTTCCCCTTTCCTGTTCATTCATTTAATGGATGTTAATTGGCGTGCCTACTCCGTACTAGTCACAGCTCTAGGCGCTGGAAAGAGTGCTGAACAAGACAGGCCAGGCCGCATCCCTGTGGCGCTTAGATTGAATAGGGCGGTCAGACCAACGGAAACAAATAATTTCAGATGGTGACAAATGCTGTGAAGAAAATAAAACATCATAACGGGGTAACAGGCCTGCGGGTGAATGGTGGGCGGCCTTAGCAAAGGGGGATCGAAGGTTTGTCAGAAGCGTCATTTGTTCTGTGAGCTAAAGGATTAGGAGAAACGAGCCGTGAGTTAGAACAGGCTAAAAAGCTTCCCAGCCGGGAGGCGTGCAGTAAACATCCCTCTGGGGCCTTTAAAATAGTACCTTTCCAAGCCGGGCGTAGGGAAGGTTAAGGTTTAATTCTGAGTAGCATCTTTCCCCAGGGAGCAGCCCAGCCTTTGGTCCCGGCTGAGAGGCTCTGTCTTCGTGTGGGTTATGGTGGTTGATAGGTAAAAAGGTAGCAAGGGAGGGGTTTCTCACCGATCCCTAAAACATCAGATTGAAAACATGAGGAGGTCTGCTTTCCCAAGCAGTTGAATCCTCTAAAGAAAGCATGCACTCCCGATTAAATGTCATCGTGGGGGTTGCGAGGATTAACCAAAACCATGCTGGGTATGGCAAATGAGCAAGATACACAATAGAGAGGTTTTGTTACTTGTGTAAAGAGAGAAAGCAGTTTTTTCTGTTTTCAGCTTAAGCTCAGAAGGCAGATTGTGAGATCCATCAGCTGGTAGCATTAAAGTCTATTTTGAGCTCCTCTTAAAAAGGAAAAAAAGGTTTTAAGTGGTTCTTTGGTATGCTTGACTAACGAAGGCCTTTTTTTGGCGATCTCGGTTTCATGTGGCTTTGCATCAGACTTATTTGACAAGACTCTCTTTACTTAGGCTGTAATGTATATTCTCTTCTGATAGACTAATATTTGTAATGTTGCCAGACCACTGTCATCTGCATAAGTATGATTGATCAATATAAAAATATGTATGCTGTGCCTCGTCTCCATGGGCTAATTGACTGAATGCCACAAGTGACTTTGAGAAGATGTGGACAGATTAGCTGCTTCAGATTTAATGCAGTAGAGTCTAAAATGGCTTTCAATGAAAAGTGTCAGTTTGAAGTGTTGGAATCGACTGTGATATACTCCATTGGGAGTGGTGGCATAGTGGGGGGGATCTTTTGTATTGAAACCGACTCGACAGCATATTCATGGTATAGATGAGTTCTTGGTTCAATTAGGTTTCTTACTGTTTTAGGCCTGAGTGGTCCGACCTGTCACCCAAGCATTGTTAGAATTGTATTCAACTAGCTGCTAGCATATTGGTCTGCAGTGAATTTCCTTCATTGTTCTTAAACTTCTCTACCACATTTGAACCACAAGGGTTAGTCAGGATTGCTTTATGTTCAGATTTCCCCAGGTTCTCAGTGGATTGCCACATTACCGGAGGTGGTTTCTTTGGACCTTAGGGAAATGTCCACTGTGGGCTTTTCTTACCTTACCACACAGATACTCTACAATTGAACTCAGAAGCTCTTCTCCTTTCTAAGTTTATAAATGGCTCTGTATTGTACAACTGTGGAATTGTTAAAAACGTAGAATTCAAATGACCTTGAGTCTCAAGTGGTGAAGTTTCCAAGTGGGTTTGTCAATTTACCAAAACCATTATTGTGTAAGAATTAAAAACAGTGTGCTGGTGGTTGGTAGAAAATGGGTTTTTTTAAAAATGAATGCTGTACAGCATGTCAGAGTGAGGGTGACCTTAGAGTCATCTTTTGAGCTTGCTTATTAGTCTTTTGTGACTAGAAGATGTAATTTTTGCTTTGGATTTTAAGTAGCGCACTCATCTCTCACTGTCCTACCTTCTTTTCTCATTAGAAACAAAAAGATGCAAAAACTTGAGGGGGAAATGGTGAAGTGGGCTTTTGAGTGCCAGGGAATGTGGGAGCTAAGAAAACAAGTTTCAGGCAAAGATTCTGTGCTAGCTTAATTTGATAATGAACATAGACTTTTTTTTGATCTTTAATGCTAATAATAGCACAGATATTAATAAGCATTTAGTGCTATAAAAAGTCAGCTTTGGTATCACAATATAGAAAGCTTTAGAAATGGTTTTCTAGCATTTAAACAATTGTGTGTCTGGTTTGAAAAGTGGAAGTAATCCTTGGCGGGTCTCGAATTTGAGCTGGCCTGGCTGTCTGTCCACGAGAGGCGAGAGCTAGCAGATATATGAAAAGGGACTGGTCTTAGATGCCCACAGTAATGAAGAGAGGGCTCAAATGGTAAGAATAGGACACACTGTCTCTAGCTGTAGTTTCAGAGGGTTTGGATCAGGTGCTTGGTGACTTTTCTCATTTCCCAATTCTTTGATTCTCTGACACTATTCACTCCTTTTCAGTGTGAATGATTTGATTGTCTCACATAAAGGAGATGGCAACAACAGCCCTTGACTTGAAGGCAGGATTTATTCCACGCTAGAGGCAGCTTTTGTCAAATGGGCCACTCTTGACGTTTGTGTTGGTAGCTGCTTTCATTATGAAATGCAGTCTAATGCCTGAGGAGCTTAAAACCCATGTCATAGCAATATTTCCCTATTGGTGTGTACTGCCTGTGTTATGAGATTCCAAGGAAAAGAATATTAAAACTTCCCAATGATGTTTATTTAAATACTGTTCGTTTTCTTCTGAGGTCAAAGTTAAAAAAAAAAAAAAAAAAGCTCTATACACTATGACTCACTGCACTTAAAAAAAAAAGAAAAAAACGGAAATTACGTACAGAGGTTGGGAAGTTCTAGTCATCTTGAGTGACCCATTAGATCTAAATGTTCGAGTTTAGCCCTGATTTGAGCAAACTAAATTTAGCTGTGTGCTCATCACTTTGGAAATGGTGTAAAGACTTTCTTAATTGTCTGGACCAATGCAATTGAACTGGGAACACACGTAGACAGAGTGGCCGGAAGAAATTTTTGCTACCATTATTTGTTTGACATCACTGGCATATTTATAGGAGTACTTTGGTACTTTGGGAAGTAAGTAAACCAAGCCAGATGGTTCTGTGAAGTCAGCTGGGGGATAACGGTCATGCAGACGGTTTCTAGCTACCAGCTATGCACTGTCGACATCCACGGCCTCCCCACTGCATTCTGCAGTTTGACATGAGTAACTTCTCAAAACCTGTAAAAAAAAAAATACAGTCTTGAGTACTGTCATCGAACATGTATTGAATTTCATGATAGAAATGAGTAAGAAATTTCCCATAGAAGTTTTTCAGACCATCAACTGTGGAAATAACTGCAGCTTTTCTTGGTGTCTTGTTTTCTCTGTCTCTTTTCTGCAGCTGATCTTTTCAGTTGCCGAATTCTTTTGACAGTTTTTGGTCTTGGCGGTGTTGTTAATTGCAGGCATGTTTCCTTAGGCCTGCCTCAGCCCAGGTACATTTTGCACAGGCTGGCATTCTTTCCTTCAGTGTTCATGTTAATGAGTTAATGATAACCAGGTAATACTGACACACAGGCTGGCCTGTTCCTGTGTTCAGGAATATCGGCGTTCTTGCTGGGTCCTTGTTTCCCAGTCCTTGCCGTGTGCTTGTTGCAGGTGTCCAGGAACACTGGGGGACTACAGAGAGGTTCTGGGTTCCCTCTGCCACGTTTCATTGGTTGGTCACCGTGACTTCCTTTCTGCCACTTCAGTGGTTGACTCTTGTATTTTGCAGTTCTTTCTAGTTTCAGGCTGTAGAAATGAGTGAAACCAGTGACATAGTGATAAGGTCCCTCTTTACTCTCTCCACACACAACCCCCCCCTACATTCTTCACATCCTCACTAAGTCAATTGTTTTTAAAACAGATCTGTCCTTGTCACTCCTCTGCTTAACTGCCTCTACTGCTGTCATTGCATCTGTGAAGGCCAAGCAGGCAGCCAGGTTCCAGCCACCCCCGCCCTGTGCCTTCTGTTCTAGCCACACCAGAAGACACAGCACTCTCCACACCTTACCCTTTGCTTAATGTTCTGTCTGAAAGGTCTTTGCTGCTCAATCCAGCTTGCACCTCCCAGCTCAGATGTGCCTACTGGCACTTGTGTACTCTGTCACCTACGTGTTTTCATACATATCTTCTAAAACCCTTCTCCCATTGTAGCAGTTGGTGTGTATCATTTGTCTGTGTCCTCTGGTGTCCAGGCTTCCTGAGGCTGCAGTCCCATCTTTCTTATTCGTGGTGATGTCCTTTGCACCTGGCACAAAGTAAGTGCCTGATACATGTTGGATTGACTAGATTGTCTGCACATTCTAGGCCCTGACATTATAAAGATGTCTAAGATGCAGTTTTCAGTTCCTATTCGAGTTAGGGGAGAGACGAATACATTAGCCATCGTTGGCCCCAGTAGCAGAGTACACTCAGCAAGAAGCCAGCATGTTTTGAGTCGTGGCCTGATGAGAATTCGTGGGTCCTCTCCTGT